GATTAAAAAACAATAATTAGTAGATGTGAAAAACATTACCATTGAAATCTACCTGATGACTTTATATCCATGCTCAGATGCCTAGATGCTCAGAAAGTAACCAACAGTGACTAGTAATAATCAGACATATAGAGATTAGAAATGCATGTGCAAACATCTTAGTTTTAATTGCATTAAAAATGAATTTTTCTTTATGCAACTGTATTTTAATAACGACATGGATATCTTTTTTAAAGGTTAAAACCTCATTTAATTTTATGTCTTATAGGGTTTATACTGAGTACAATATTGTATAACTGTATTAATTCAACTATAAACCTAAAACTTTACAGCCAAAGAGAAGCATCTTAGCTCTGGAAATTGTTATTGAATATGTCAATCCTGTTGTAATGAAATGCTTCTTCTAAGTATGTGATTTTTACATAAATAATTTTTTGAAAATTTAATATTCCCAACCACCATATTTAACATAAATGTTAACTATAAATGTTGTTCTAGGATCTAGGTGAATAGCACTGAGCCAAAAGGCAAAATAGGAATTATCCCTGGTTTGAGGCAAGCCTTCCAGAGTTGAAGGGACTAGCTAGCCTCATCACAAAACTCCGAGATGGCAGGCTCTGAAGGCACGTCTTGGGGACTCCAGGCCAGTCTAACGGCAGCTGCTGTTTTCTCTTGCCTTTGACCACAGGGACCCGCAAGATGGAGTACAAGGGCAGCAGCTGGCACGAGACCTGCTTCATCTGCCAGCGCTGCCAACAGCCCATTGGAACCAAGAGCTTCATCCCGAAGGACAGTCAGAACTTCTGCGTGCCCTGCTACGAGAAGCAGTATGCCCTGCAGTGCGTGCAGTGCAAAAAGGTAGCTTGAAATTCCCCCTGGTGGGAGGGGGGCTCACCCATCCTTCTCAGTTTGCATCCAGGGCCCACCTGTCAAGTGTCCCTTCTGGAGGAAAGGGCACCTGTCACTCTTCCATGCTGTGAGAATGATGCCATTCCTGCTCTGCACGTGTGTTCTCGTGGGCTTCTGTGCATTTACCCACTGTGTCTGTACTCTGGTCTTTCTTTCAGAAAGATGAGAGCACTGGTGTGATCTGAGAGAAAGTCATGCCTTCTAGAACATTTCCGTTTGTTTAGACTTGATGCTGGCGAGATGGGACACTGCGTACCCCAAAGCATTGTCTAACTAATCTGGACTAAACAGGAAACTAACTGCTAAACTTGAGAGAGGGAGAGATAGAAGAGGGGGAGAGAAGAGGGAAAGGACAGGAAGAAAGAAGAGAGATAAGATAGGAGACGACCAGTACACGAGCGATGGCCTGGTTCATGGTATGGCACGGATCACTTATCAAAATGACCAGCTTGATTTTGTGCTTTGTCTGCTGTGGTTTTGTCCTGTTAGGTTAAAGAAGGAAAATGAACCAGGTGTGGTAGCCCACACCTTTAGTCCCAGCACTCAGGAGGCAGAGGCAGGGGGATCTCTGTGAGAGATGTGTTCTATGCTGAACTTATTCCTACACCATAAGTTCTTGTTTCTTTTGGAATGTCATTCTGCTGCACAGCTGCCTTTTCTGACTTAGGAACAGTTTGATCCATTTCAGTAAGCCTTGTCTCAGTGTGTTGGGGGAAGCCCACATATGGTTCATCCACCATGAGCTCTGTGAACACCACAAGTGGCACATCCTAGGTGCCTTGTTCACCAGGTATACTTGATAACCAGGGTCTACAGCTAATTCTTGAAGTTCTCAGCAGTGGTCAGCATGCATAGCAAAACTTCAATATTGTTTTTGCATCACTGACCCTGCATCCAGCCCCACTGCTTGGCTTGGGCACACCTATAAGCCCCACATTAAAACTCCAAGATGGTACATTTTGTGGCTCTTTGAGTTACTACATCTTCCTATAATCTGCTGATGTGATCTGTTCATTTGCAAAAATGAAGGTGGCACATCCTTGTGGGACTTATGTCTATGTGTATCCTAAAACATGCAGAACATCTGGGCTAGAGAGACTTCCTTCCTTGGGCCATGAGGCACCAAGGCTCTGAGGGCACACAGGACACACTCAAATCATGCTGGATTTTAATCACGTAGAGATGACTCTACTCTCCAGCCTGGTATCTTGACACATGTGCTCTTGTGAAGAACAGATTGTTCACAGAGTAAGGAACAGGAGCTAAGCTAAGGAGTAGGGGCTGGAGGCATTTAGGGAAGGAATCTGGAAGAAAGCCATGCTGAGGTGAATCTGAGCCTGCCAATGTGTGAGAAGGGGTGGAGATTAGTGTGGATGGAGGGAAGGGGAGAAGGTGGAGGGGTGAAGGGTGTGAGGGTATGGAGGGTGTGCGGGCATGGGATACAGAGCATAGAGGGGGATCAGGGAGGAGCACTAAGCAGTGGGGAGCATCATCTCACATATACATGCCTCCCATATCCCCATAGAACATGGAGACCTAGCATATTTTCCATAAACTCTGTTGCTGGGGCAAGAAGTTATAGGCAAATGGTTTCTGGTTCATGATTTAATGACAAGAGTGCAGGACAGAAGGGAGTCTTGATTCTCTGATTCTAGTTCCTGCCTTGTCATTAACCAGCTATGACTTCACTCTTGGGCAAGTCTCTGGCTCTCAGTTTATTCATCTGCAGCATACAAACAGCATCTTACTTCATGAACTTTATACAAGGACCTCAGAAATTGCCAAATGCTGCCACATGTTCAAAAAGCAAAAAGCACCAAGGTGCCACCTGAGCTATTTCCATTCCATCTTTGTTGCCATTGCTTGTCAAGCTAAGGTGTACTTAGACTCCTGATCTCCTACTCCACTCTTTACCCACAGTTTAAATTAGTAGGAAAAGCAATGTTTAGCAGGACGTGGTGGCACACACCTTTAGTCCCAGCACTCAGGAGGCAGAGGCAGGCGGATCTCTGTGAGTTCAAGGCCAGCCTGGTCTACATAGCAAGTGCCAGGCTAGCTGGGGCTACAAGGAGACCCTGTCTTAAAAAGACAAAAAAAAAAAAAAAAGAAAAGCAATGTTTAGAGAAGATGACTACATGCAGGGAGGTATGGATGAGCAGTCCATTATTACCTTACAGTTTCTTTGCAAATGTTCTAGGACTGTAAGGCAGGGTGAGGACAAAGGCTTCCAAGATGCCCTTCCCTGCTTACCATCCCAGCAAGGTGTTGATTCCAGGAGTCTTTAAGCCTCTCCTTTCCTACCCTTCCAGGACAGGCTGAGCAGGAGGGTGGGGCTGGAGAGGTCACCTTCCACTGAGATTTGTCCCTCTGTCCACATCACTTCCACTCTGAAGATGAGAAACAGATCTTGAGCCGTGACTTGCCTCAACCACAAGGCTGGTTAGGAGTAGAGTCAATTCCCTTAATGTCATCTGATGTGACCCTCCATTGCACCATCTTCCTCCTTGGGGAGGTGATGAGGCCATAAGTACCTGTGCCTTCAATTCCCCAACAGTCCTGGGACACCCAAGAACTAGTGTCGTAAGGAGAAAGCCAGGGATGACAGCAGTGGAGTGAAAGCAGATGGAGGGTCACAAGGTGTCAGAGCCATTTCTTTACCACTTTTAACAAGTGGACATTCCTGGGTGGAACTCTCACATTCCCACTGGCAGTAGCACACAGGAGATGTGCTAGGAACAGAGGCCCCCCTGACTCTTGTGTGTGTTTCCTCAGCCTATCACCATGGGAGGCGTCACTTACCGGGACCAGCCCTGGCACAAGGAATGCTTCGTGTGCACAGCCTGCAAGAAGCAGCTGTCCGGGCAGCGCTTCACTGCAAGGGATGAGTTTGCGTACTGCCTGACCTGCTTCTGTGACTTATACGCCAAGAAGTGTGCTGGGTGCACAAACCCCATCAGTGGTGAGTGTCACGGGAAGCCCACTGCCAGGGCACAGGATGTCTGCTTCATGGAGTGACATGGAAGTTGAGCATGTCAGCATGTGATGGTGCTGTGGCCCTGCTGAGGCTCTGTGCCCAGCACAGTTTTCTGACCCCCTGCTGTCCTGTCCTTGGTACACTACCTGTGTTCTAGCAGGTGACTGACGACTTTCCCTCCAGCCTGCCTGATCAGAGAATCACGCGGCCTGGCCTCAGAGTGTGTTGGATTATCTCTCACACTGCAGTCTGTGAGTCCATGTCAGTCATGTGAGCACAATGAATCCCGCATTTCATCCTCAGCAGCTAACCTGGTGTTTGGAAGTGTCTGTGACATCTTAGTGAGACTTCTCCCACAGCTAGGTGTGCCCACACAGGGCACATTCCAAGTAGTTTATTGATAGCACAGTCCCCGAAGAGTTTGATAAAGCAAGAGCCCAAAATCTGTTTGGCTGGCAGACCTCCTCCAAACTAAGCTACTGAGTATGCCGAAGAAATTGAAGATGGGGACTAGATGGCTTCAAACTAAAGCCCTTTATATATTCACCAAGCACCACTAGACCAATCAGTCCTGTTATAGTGTGGGAATATTTCATAAGGTGGATTTTCTTTTATTTATATGTGTATATATATGTAACATACATATTTAAATTTTCATATTTTATTATATATAAATTTTATTTTTATTTTATGTGAACATGTGTATTGCCCACATGTATGTAACTGCATCCATGTCATGCAGTGCCCATGGAGGTCAGAAGAGGGAGTCAGATCCCTGATTCTTAGCCGCCATGGTATGCTAGGAATTGAACCCAGGTCCTCTGCAAGATCAGCTAGTTTAACCACTAAACCATCTAGCCCTTAGGAAGTGGATATTCTTATTTTTGGTCTTTTTTGAGATAGGGTCTCCCTGTAGCCCCAGCTGGCATGGAATTCACTATGTAGACCAGGGTGGCCTCGAACTCACAGAGATCCCCATGCCTCTGCCTCTGAGTCCTGGGATTAAAGGTGTGTGCCACCACGCCTGCTAGGAAGTGGATATTCTAATCTCATTCATTCAGCTCATCACTTCATCCCTACTGCATAATCAGTAGACATATCTGGTGGGGAGCAGCAAGCCATAGGCTTTCCTCTGTAGCTTTTCAGAGTCTTTCCACAAACTTACTGCACACCCTGGTGTACTTGACCTTGTGCATTTCTTTTTCCTCGGGCCCAGAACCCAGATCCCTTGGTCCTACTCACCTACTCATCTTCCCGGCAGATGGTCCTCTGTCCCAGAACTTGTGCAGTATTTACATGTAAAATTAAAAGATAAGGAACATTGAAATCTTCCTCTCTGATTGCAACTATTTCCTTTGAAATTAGTTAGGGAGGAAAATAGGACATGTTTCAATGGCATATTCATATTTAATGCTGTTTTCACAATAACTGTTGTTGAGTCAAACAATTACAAAGCTTTATAGTCCATGAAAAAGCAGTTTAAATATGAAGTATTATTTCAAATATGGGTGTTTGTTGCAGTGTAGCTGTGACTTGCCTCATAGCATGGGGAAAAAAGCCTCTAGAAAAACAGAAATTCTTTCTTTAAAACAACAGAATTAATTCTCTGAAAAGCAGTGACTCATCTTCAAAAACATATACAAGGACATTGAAATTGCAACTAACACATACTTTCAGCCAAAACATGCACAGTGGGAGCATAGACAAAGTCCCAAATAGATCCTTAGTATTTTCTTCCTTTAATAGCGTTTAAATTTTTTATAAAATAAATTGGAAAATAGTATTTTCTAGCTTTCTGTGTGTAGTACTGCCTAATTCTTTTCTAGAGTTGATTTCATTATATTACACAGTACATATTTGCAAACTTGCCTGCCCTCAAAACTGATCCATAACCTGGAACTGATGCCCACAGATGTGCACAGCACAGCATGGTTTCAGTTCCCAGACTCGGGCGTTCTCAGCTACCACTGAGCAAGTGAAGCTCTGCGTTCATGCTCTACTCCCCATATTTAACTAAGTATCCTTTAGAACATATGTCCAGTGACATGAGGGGTTTTTTTCTGCCCTTTAGAATAGTTGCCAAATTTCCAGTGTCCCTATGCATGAAAAGACTTAAGGTGCCTCAGAGAAAATGCATGCTAAAGAGCTTCATTCAATCACTGCACTGCTGTTGACCACGACTTTAATGTCATAAGTCAAACTATATTAAAGTGACTTGCACTCAAGCTGAGGCACACATATGTAACATTTTTGTGTTAATCAGTTGCAAATGTGGCAGAGGTTTTCAGAAACCTAACTCTGTGTTTGAAGCCAGTGGTTTAGGATTTGCTAATTCAGTCTTCATAAGGATGTTATGAGATATAATAATCACAGTGAATAATCAGAATTGGCTGTGCATGTGCGTCTTCCCTTAAGGAGTCTCCCCCTTTGGTCTGTTTGTTTGGCTCTCAATTCTTTTTTTTTTGTCTTTTTGAGACAGGGTCTCCCTGTAGCCCCAGCTGGCGTGGAACTGTGAAGACCAGGCTCATCTTGAACTCACAAAGATCTGCCTGCCTCTGCCCTCCTGAGTGCTGGGATTAAAGGCGTGCACCACCACGCCGGGCTTGGCTCTCATTTCTAGCTCTTGTTGCATGTGCTGGCATTTCAGGGTAAATCAGAGCCCCAAAAGAAGCTCTCAACCTGGGACAGCTGCCCTGCATGGCATTTTCATATCTTTCTTCCCACACGTGCCCATCAGTGCCCCTCCTTGCCCACAGTTTTCTGATGTAGAACTTAACAGGGTGAGAGGAAGGAGATGCAGTGGACTAGCAGGGATGCCGGGGTGTCCCGGAAGCTTGGCCTTGCAGTTCAGTCGAGTCCACACGCTGAGAAGAAAAACCACCACCTTCCAAGCCTTCAGCAGCCCCCAGAGTTTTTAAGTTTCCTAGGTGACTGAAATATGCAGGAAAAGTTAGAACCATTGGCCTGAAGCCTAGATTGGGCTCTGCCCATGGTCAGAGCCCTAGCTCTGTGGTCTGTAGGTCCTTATGAGTTTAGGAATAGAAAAGGCATTTGATATTCTGGAAACTAGCTATTTGATATTTCTGTTTTTGTTGTGGTGGTGCTGTGAATTAAACCCAGCGCATCATACATGCTAGGCAAGCACTCTGCTACCAAGGACATCCTCAGCTCCAAAAATTTGCTTTTTTAAAGCCATGTTTAAGGAAAGAGAGCTGATGAGCTTTCCTGGTGTATACTCCATCAGGAGCATACTGGGTGTGGTATTTGGAAAGACACAGATGCTTCATTATAGACCTGGGCTCAGTCCCAACCCTGCTATGGCTTGCCAAGGAGGAAAAGCTGTAAGGTCTACCAGTATGGAAGGGCTTAATGCTGAACGTCAGCCTAACACTTGCTACAATAGGACCTAACTGATGAGTCTGAGACCTTGGCATTAGACCAATGTGACTACTTTGTTACAGTATGGCTTATCACACCACTGTTTCTGGGGAGAACGTTTTGTAACTGGAATAGGGTTCAGTTCCCAGCACCCACATAGTAACTAAAAATTGGCCCCAACTCCAGTTCCAGGGAATGAGACACCCTATCCTGGCCACTGCAGGCATTGCAGGGACATGACTGTACTTACACACACGTATGCAAAACACTCATACACATAAAATAAAAATAAATTAAAAAAATAAAAACCATGAGTAGCAGTAGGTTGGAAGTGAAATGAGTTACTACTTATTTAAGAATACTGGCAAGCCGGGCGTGGTGGCACATGTCTTTAATCCCAGCACTCAGGAGGCAGAGGCAGGTGGATCTCTGTGGGTTCAAGGCCAGCCTGGTCTACATAGTGAGCTACAGGGAGACCCTGTCTCAAAGAAAAAAAAAAAAAAAAAAAAAAAAGAATACTGGAGCTCGGGGTGTAGCTCAGAGTTGGCTGCTTACCTAGCATGCTTGAGGCCCCAGATTCTATCTCCAGCTCCACTAAAAAGTACAATGGTGGTTTTGTTCAGTCCTTAACACTTTCATAGTCAGCTCTAGCCTGTGCTAGCAGCCCTGTCTTCCTTCAGTGTTCTGTACCCCTCAGTGAGCCTCCTCTCTCATTCCCCTACACCCCCAGCTCCCTCATCCCAGGACCTCTCCATCGGATCAGCCTGCCCTGCCATCCCCTGAAGGATCACCACGTTCCTCTTCTGACTCCCTGAATGTAGTCCACAGTGCAGCGCAGGGGCATGGGAAACCTGTTCCCTTCTCTTATGGGAGCCCATTTCTGGGGGAAACAGGTAACGAGAACGGGAACAACAGGAACTTTTTTTCACAGTGCTGGAGATGGAACCCAGTGCCTCACCATGGTCAGGCAAGTGCTCTACCACCGAGCTGCTGCCCAGGCCAACGGACACTTTTTCATAGCATGTATCGCATCCTTTTGGAGCCAGTCTGTGTGTTTCTTCCAATGTCTGTGAGCTCCTCACAGGTATGCAAAGTAGCTGATCCTTTGAAGTCTCAGCTTTCAGTCTCTAGTCGAGAAACTCATAGCATGTGTGTCACACGGAGGGAATAAAGCTGAAACATTAAATAAGAATTTCTTTTTCATTCTGTTACTGATAGTCACCAGGCAACACTCCCTGTCGTTTCCTTTGTTCACAGGACTCGGTGGCACAAAGTACATCTCTTTTGAGGAACGGCAGTGGCACAACGACTGCTTTAACTGCAAGAAGTGCTCCCTGTCCCTGGTGGGGCGAGGCTTCCTCACAGAGAGAGATGACATTCTCTGCCCTGACTGTGGAAAGGACATCTGAAGGCAGCGTAGAAGTCATGACTTGTGACACACAGATTCATGCATTTTCTTTCTGACCCAGGCAATGTGTGTCCTGGTTCCCACCTTGAGGCTTTCCTCTCACTGCCCAATGGCCTTCATTTTTGTTGAACCCTTAAGTCCTTTGTGCTAGTTCTGTCCTGGGGGAGAGAAAACCCTTATGTAAATCCTGAGTGGGAAGATGGTTTGGAATTTTTGTAGTCACACAAGACAGATGCAAATGTAAAGTCCTTTTGAGTGTCTTTATAAATGCATCCTTCTTTCACTGCCTATTTAATTTTTAAGTGCAATTAACATTTGTCATGAACTTGAATGTTTTTTCAAGGAAGAGTTGGTATTTGTAGCTCTGTAACTTCCTTTTTTATGTAAAATCTAGAGTAAGGTTACGTGACTTACAATAAAGTAACTTAATAAACTCTCTTGCCAAGCAGTGTGTGAAATACTGATTAAATGTTTGAGTTTGAAGAACACGTTATCACATGGTCCTGGGACTCCACTCTGCAGAGTAGATTCCGATGGGCTGGGGGTGATGTTAGCCCAAACAGCATCACACTCTACTTCAAGGAAGTTTTCTGAAGCACCACACTTCCTGTCTGTCTGTCTGTCTGTCTGTCTCTCTCTCTCTCTCTCTCATGCTCACATTTGATGCATGAACCCAAGCCCTGGAATGTGAAGGGGGGTGGGGACAGGGAACCCAAGCTCTTGCTCACTTTTAGTAGCAGAGCTTGGCTCTTTCCCATGTCATAGATCTTATCTTACACTGACGGTCTTCTCTTCCACCCAGGGACGATATGAGCACCTTGAGGCCAAAGTATCCTTTTAACATTCTAGGCACTCTAGCAAGGGAAGGCACACTGAGGCCTTCAGTCACCCCCTTTCTTTTTGGGGAGGAGGTGGAGATTGGGATCCAGGGTCTCATCTTTAGCTTTGCTGGCCTGGAACTTACTATGTAACCCATGTTGGCTTAGAACATGTGGCATCTTCCTATTTCAGAATCTCCAAGTGCTTCATGAGTTTGGCCATGTTCCTTCTTTTCCTATCTTACTAAGACAGCAGGGGAGCTAACAGACTAAAGAACATTGGTATAGCTCATCTTTAAAAGTTTGGTAGGGTTTGGCAATGCTTCAGTATTGATGGCTCTGTTTGTTTACATTCTCTTTGTCGTCATTGTTTTGAGAGTCTTCCTGTAGCCCCAACTAACCTGGAACTTACTATGTAGACCAGGCTGGCCTTGATCTCACAGGGATCTACACACCTCTGTCCCTAGAATATTGGGATTAAAGGTGTGCACCACCACGTCTGGCTATTTACATCCTCTTGACTTAATTTTAATAGGTCGTATGTGTCTATGAACTATCTCTAGATTTCCTAGTCTTTTTGTAATATAAAATTTCAAAATATTCCCTAATGATTCCTAGATTTTATTGTAACATGTAGTAACCTCCTCTTCCTCATCTCTAATTTTATTAGAGTTCTCTGTCTCTCTGTCTGTCTCTCTGGTGTGTGTGTGTGTGTGTTTCCTCTTAGAACTGCCTTAGCTGAATCCCAAGTGTTCTGATATGTTGTACTTTCATTTGAGCCTAAGAATGTTTATGCTTCCTCCCTGAATTCCTCAATGAGCACCAGTCACTGAGGAGTATATTATCCATGACTGCAAAGGTCATGTCATGCCCAGAAGATATCACTTCACATACCTCCTTCCATCACCTAAGCTCATTCTTTCTGTCCCTCTTCTATGATGTTCTTTGAGCCTTGGAGTGATAGAGATGGGATGAGCATTCAATAGTCATTCTCAGCACCTTGATCAGTCAAGAGTCTCTGCATTCACTACTTTTCACTGCAGAAAGAAACTTCTTTGTTCAAGGGTGAGAACAGCACTTGTCTATTGCGAGGGGGATAAGAGAGGATGGGGGAGTGAGTGTAAGAATTCATTATATACATGTATGAAATTGTCAAGGAATAAACTTAAAAATATTCCTAACAAGAAAAAAAAAGTGTATTTGTCCTTTCTTCGTATATTTTGTAGTTTCTGTCATTTATTTTACTGTTGATTTCTAGTTTTATTCCATTATGATCTGACAAAAATACAGGAACATGATTTCAACTATTTTGTATTTTGGCAACACTCGCTTTATTGGCCAGAATGTGATCTGTTTTAGAGAAGGTTCCATGGGCTATGGAAAAAAGTATGTATTCTTTAACTAGTGGATGGAGTGTTTTACACACACACACACACACACACACACACACACAAATTCATTTGATATACGCTATAAACTCTGAAGCTTTTTTGTTAGTTTTCAGTTTAGATGACCTCCCTAAGATGAGAACTGGCTATTGAAATCATCCACTATTTTTGTATCAGGAATTATTTGATCTTTATGCTCCTTGGTACTTATTTTTCAAATAATTTATTGAGAATTTCATACATGCATATAAGGTGTTCTGATGAAATCATGCCCACTCCCTCCCCTCCAAATCCTCCCATATCTCCCCATCACTATGTTCTGACACAACATATCAAAACACTTGGGATACAGCTAAGGCAGTTATCAGAAGAAAACTTCTGATAACTTCATATACTCTTCTTTTCTTTTTTTATGGGGCTTTTGGCTACTCTAACATTCCCTGCACCTTCTGAAGAGGTAACCCAAATTCTTTTTTTTTGGTCTTTTTGAGACAAGGTCTCCCTGTAACCTAAATTCTTTTAAGGATTAGATAAAAGCTCCCAAATACTTTAGACATTTTTGGCATTTGGAATGGAGGATGTTGCTAAGAGGCCCAAGGACATTTTGACTTTTAGCCGAGAAACTGGGTACTTTTATTTGGGGTATTTTTACCCTAACTGCCTAGCCAATTCCTACCACCTATTCTTATCACACCATCCTCTGAAGAGGTTACCCAACTTGTTGATAGGGAATCGGGCCGCAGGCCGCTCTGGCTTCTTCCGTGCTGAACAGGGACATGCAGGGTGAAGCAACTGGGGTGCCCCTTCAGTGGGTCTATCTAAAAGT